TGGGCCTACCTGGTGGGTAATACCGCTGGCTGCTGCTTCGTTTTTTCCCCCTCGTTTTCCTTTTATTTTGTTGATCCTTGGCATGCCGAAATCAAAGTTGTGATTGGGGCTTGGGAGAAAAACGCAGGGACTGCACAGGGCAGGTTACCGAGCTCAGCTTGGTGCGAAGGGGCGATAATTCTGGGTTCGTCTGAGGGTAACTTGGATCCAAAATTCACCCGCTGGCTTTAAGATAATGAATGCCCATCTCTGCCTGATATTGTAACAGGAGGCATGTGGGAGGACTCACAAGGTTTCCATATAAGAACATGCGAGAATTTATTTCACACAGGCGAAGAAATGTGCAGAGTATGTGTTATTTATGAAACGGAAGGCAAGCTGTGTTTTCCTTAGGCAGCTCTGAGAGTGGCAAAACTTTGTATTTAGAAATTGTAAAAGCTGATTTTTGTTGTCTAATAAGAGCTACGTTTAAAGGAAAGCACTGATGAAAAAAAGTAGTGGGAGAGGATTCAGATAAACACGAAGAAATACAACCTCACACGTATTCCAGCACGGTTTGTGCCAAGGTGTAAAGATGGAGTTTTTTGGTTAGTTCCCGTTTTTTTAACCGTATTGGGAAAGGCATTAAGAAAATGTGCCGAGAGGAGCTGGTTACGTTGATAGTGCTATTTTGGTAACTGCAATTTTTTTTTATTGCTTGCATGTCAAAACATTTCGAGTTTTGGACTAGCAAAAAAGTGAGGCAGCCCTGATCGGGGGACATGTCATCGGCTGTGTAATTTGGGGCTCGGACGACAGTTGCTACCGGTTTAGATTTTACGGCTTTGGGTTTGAGGGTAGATCCGCCCATTAGAACCTGCTGCTGTGGAATTTGGAGGGGAGAGGCTTTGGTGAAAACCCTCATGGTTTTTGACAGCCTGGTGTTTACCTCTGGGTCTGCATTTGGGCGAGCTGACTGCTTTTTGGCATTGCCTACCTTTGCTCGAGTATCACGGAAAGATTCCCCTGAACGTTGTTGGGTTTTTTTAAAGCAAAATGTGTGAGCAGTCGAGGCAGCCAGAAGTGTGACCGTGTCCCTCGCCCGGAGTAAGCTGGGGCTGAAGCACGAGTGTGGCGTTGTCTTTGTTGCCCTGGTTAGACTGACACTGGAAACTTTATTTTTGGCACTTTCAGAGATAGCATCTTCGTGTTTCCTCTTCAACTGTCTCTTCTCTGCTTTGCATATTATTTTTTTTTCTCTTCTCTTTATTTGCCTGCGTCTCACCTTCTCTGTCCTTTCCCCTTCGCACCTCTCTCACGCTTTGGGCTGCTTTGAGGCTGCACCCACTGGGGGGCGACAGACACCTTTCCCTCTCCGTGGGGTCCCAGCGCTGCCCCGCGGGTGGGGCGGGACCCAGACCGCCAGCCTGTGGGCGGGCCGGGAGAGGAAAAGGGCTTCTTGCTGTAATTTATTAACCTGCTTCTTTTACTGTGCGGTGTTAGGGTTCTTTTCTGTCATACTTTGCAATAAGCAGGAGATTGCAGATGGCACTGTGATATTTGGAGGTACCGAGAAGGTGGTTGCATGCTTGGGGGTGCTAGATCGAAATCCTGGGGTTTTTTGTTTGTTAGTGTAGGGATATTGGTCTAGAATGCAGTAGAAATTTGGAATGCTTCAAATGCTACCAATTTGTATTTTATTTTACTTTGCTGTAACCAGGAGTAGAATTTGGCAGACTACTCATTGTTGGTAGTCACTAATTTGTAGCTTTTGGGTGGGTTGCCTGGAGGTTTCTTAAATGCCAGGGATGAAATGTTTGGGCTGTGGCAGGAGCCTTCAGTCTGTGTGAAATGCCATATGAAAAGAGGTGCAACATTGTCATGGAAAAAGATGTAGACACTTTAGATTGGCTTTCTCTTCCTGCGCGGTGGTTGGGAAACCTCCCGTGCCTGAGCGCAGTTCTGTTTGTAAAGCCTCAGGGAGGATCTTGTCTTACAGCTAATTGTTGCAAATATTTCAATGAGTTTTCCTTAAATCAATACCCTGCCTAACCAAGGCTGAGCTACATCTTAGTGGCTTCTAGCCAAGCCCTGTGGGCTGGGTGTTTCCAAAGAGACTCCCAGGCACAAGCCCTTCAGCAGGCTGCCATGTTTCCCGGGCAGTGATGCTCCCAGGATTTTCATCAATGCACCTCAAGACTCGGCAGCAACCCGCTATTATTTTAATTTTGCTGCTTCTTTCCAGTGCCCTGTAGTTTTGCCCCAACAGACAGTAGGGCAACGTTGCCCCAGTGCCCATATGGCAGCGTTGCCAGTTGCACCAGTAAGGGGAGTCTCTACAGTGGTGCCCTACCCAGGCTTTTAATCATGCTGACAAATGACTCTGAAAAGATTATGCTGATTTGTTTCTTTTAAATTTAACCATATTACAACCCATAAAAATGGATGGGAAGGCCATGGTAGTTAAAGCCTTTTGCAAGTAATGCTTATTTGATTGATCATACTAATAAATTGTAGATCATTTAAGAAGTGCAGCTTTGAATAGATTACCCAGTAGGATTAGTGCCTTCAACTTTTTCTCATCACTAACTTAATTTACGTGACCAGAATGGATCAGGGTTATGTTTTTAAAGTAATCCTGAGTCCAGTCCTCTAAGTACTCTGTACACAGAACTCAGGTTTATTCTAATGCCATTATAGGGGGGGCTGCTTGCAGGATTGGGTCCTTGGCATTTGGAAGAAAAGCATGAGAATGAAAATGCAGTGATTTAACATTTGTTGAATTTCTTCCATACGTGCATATTTACTTGAATCCTCAGCTGTTGTAGTGTCAAGGATTTAATTGATTTGTGCTAGCCGAGTATCATCCCAAGGCATGTAAACTCTAGGCAATACCCTTTAACTTGCTTACAGAGTAGCTAATACTGATGTAAGGTAACATAGTAGAAATTAAGTGAAACTGCTGCTCTTCATTGTCCTTTTTTTTCCCCTAAAACTGCCATTGGAAGGGCTACCATGCTGCCAGTCTGTGACTCTGAAACTCTGGCTGGTGTCCTACAGCATCTTCTGTATTTATATCAGTCTCTCTCTTGGTTTTTTTCTATGTGTCTAGATTTACACCAGCAAAAAGTCGCTCAGTGCCGACCCTAAACCCTGCTCCAAGAGCATCCACCAAACCCACCAGCTGGGTTGGTGGAAGGGGAGCATGAATCAAATCCACGTCCTGCCAGCGAGCTTTAGGTGGGAGGCAGCAGGGCGGGTGGCACAGGGCCGCGGGAGGGTGGCTGTTAAGACCCACGGGCTGTTGTGAAGGCTCGTGCATTTTAGCAGTTACTGGGTTTCCTGTTGTGGTTCTCTGTCGCCCAGAATGGTCGCAGCCTCCGAGAACGCCTTCGCTGCCATGGCTGCCTGACCCGGGTTTGAATGCAGTTGGTGCTTGAGTGCTGGCGTGGAAAAACAATTACACTGTGCCAAAACGCAGCAGGAGTGCCCTGCTTCAGGGTGTCAGTGTAGGTAGGCTGCCCTAGGTAAGAGAGCAACCCATACATGGAGCCACAGGGTTATCAGTGAGCTGGAATGTAGTTAAAAGTTCTTCTTTTTTTGCTTCAGATCACGTGGCATTTGCATTTTATTTCACTGCTGCAGTGTAATTTCCTTGCTCTTGAGACGGATATAGTCAAATTTTCTGTTATGTTTTACATAGAATGTAACAGGTGAGAAATGATGTCCTGTTTTGGCATTGGTACTACGTTCAGTGACTTGATGTTCTTCAAAATATAAGTTCATACTGGTGAAGTTCAGAAAACACTATGCATGGTAACATTGAAACATGTCTGACTTATCTTGCTAGACCCATTTTTTTCCTTTAAAATTTTTTTTTTGCCTTTTCTTTTTCTCTTTTTTTTTTCCAAACAGGAAGAGAAAATCCATTCAGGAGAGACTCTTCTTCATGTAAGTGTTATTTATGCTTGTTTATGAAATTACAAAAGGGTTATAAAGCTCATTAAAATGTTCAAATACTGAACATTTACCATCTGTTCATAGAAATCAAGTATAAAGCATGTAAAAATAGGTTGTAGTTATACAGTAATAATGCTCAGCAACTGTTATCTTAAATTTACCTGTACAGTTCTTTTGTGCATATCACTGCAGAATTTAGAAATCGTTGCAAAGCACTTTGCAGACATTTAAGACTTTACATGCCTGTAAAGTCGGTGTGTAAATCCTGGAGGGATAATATTAAAAGTGGTTTGCCCAAAGTGGAAGAGACCCGTAAGTGAGAGCTCATTTTAACACCCCAGAGTCCCTGAATCCCAAACCCTGTGAGAAGAGTCAGCTTCTCTGCCTTGGATCCTACAAAATCCAAGTTCTGCCTATAGAGCCATTTGTTTGTGTGCATGTATACATGTGGGTAAGAGAGAGTGTGTACACGCGTATTTGGCCTCAAATAGCATATAGGTATTTCAGGCCTCTTCTACAACCTATGCTGATACCCATTAAAATAAGTGTAAATGCCACGAGCCATTGGTGAATACTGTTGCAAATGTTTTGTGAAAGCATTTAGCTCCAGACTGGCTGCTCGGTCTGGGTGAGCCCGGTACAGTATTCTTCATGGGACCAAGAAAGCTGCATGTCATAAAAATACAACAGTTTTTTCCACAGCGTCTAGTGACCTGGTTTGCTTGCAGATCTCAGATTTGAAAACTCTTGAGTAGTATAGGAAGCTCTGCTCTGGTATTTCGTTCTAGTAAATAAATCTGATTAAATGTTTTAAGGGGCTGCATAGATGAAGACTCTCATTGCCTTAATGCAAAATTAGCTTAGCAAGGAAAATGACTGCATTGTTCCCAATGCAGGGCCTGCTTTGCATAACTTCCAAGCATGTACTGCGTCCAGTGGCATGGCAAGCCCACGAGCGCTCACCTCAGGCTGAATTCCCATAAGTCAGCATTTTTTTTTTTTTTTTTTTAAAATAACATATATCTCGGAATTGCACCACTCCATTATGCTTGCGTAGCAACTGCTGGTTAATATGTAGCAAACCGCCGTGTGGTAACAAATGTTTTTTTGCTATTGTTGAGCTGGAATGTTAGTTCAGCTTCTAGATAAAAGTGGCTTGCGCAAGGCGCCCCAGTAGACCATGGTTTCTGTGGCTTGTACCGTAGTTCTGTAGGCAACCGTGTTCTGCTCTTCCTCTCCCCTGTGCTTCCCTTCATCTTCCACGTAAGCGAGGGGTGGGCTTAGGTGAAGGCAGGGAACGGGCAGCTCTTTGCATCCCGCAAAGCACCAGTGTGGGGTTTATATTAAGCCCGTTGCTAGTCAAGCATCTGTTGAAAACACTCTTTATTCTGGTTGTGTTTCTAGCAGAAACGTTGTAAGACGCTTTATTTAATAGCTTTAAGCCACAGGTGTTCTTTGGCTGGTTTTATGGATATCATAAGACAATCTTTCAAAAAAAAAAAAAAAAAAAAAGCCAGTAGTTAGTGAAAGACACCCCACAAAGGATTAAAGAAACCTCCTGCCCTGCAGCTGGAATCCCAGCTGAGACTAGCTTAGGAGTTTGTATCTTTGAGAAAGTAAATCATCATTTTTAAAAGGTAACGGAGAAGGAAAAATTCCAGAAGGCTTTTGATTATGACCATTTTCAACATTTGTAGCTCATTATTATTTCATTCTAGTGTAGGAAATTCAAACCTCTTGAAAAGCCTGTGAAGCACACGCTTCCCCGAGATTTAAAATGGGAAATAGTGCGACAAAACCACCTTTAATGGAAGAAGCTCCCAAAGAGAGACGAACCCTATAGCAGTGACTGTGTGGTGTCTGGAAACTGCAGAATAAGCGTGCAGCACAGATCTAAGAGTTTCATCTGGAGATTTCAGTATCACAAACAAATAATTGGGAGCTTCCTAACTCCAATACATATACTCCAAAATGAACGAGTAATGAAAAGTTTGTGGTCCAGAGGCCATTTGCGGTGCAGCCTTCCATCACCTGCTGTGGCTTTTCAACAGCTAACGGCAAGCTTTGAGCATCAGAGCCTCTGTCTTCTGGTTCTGTGCATGAAATATTACGACTTTGACTCAATAACTCTGTGCCTGTCTGTGCGTTGGCTCCCCTTGGCTTCTTCAACTGTGTGAGTTTCCAACAGAGAGTTAAGCTCCGGGGATGGGAATAGCGAGGCTGTAGCGAAATGGCAGGATCGCGAAGCATCCAGGACAGGGACCTCTCCCAGGCCCCGCTCAGAGGGGGTTGACTCCTGTGGCGGTGAATGCTCGGTGGGATTAACCCCTCAGGACTGTGACTTGGACCGGTCACCGTGACAGGAGGTGACCACTTTGAGAAAGGACTCTATGTGACAGTAACCAGCCATATGTAGTTGTAATGATAAGAAAGGGACCATCTTATTGTAGTCACTTTGCGACAAATACTACCACAATTCATTACTTTCCATCAGTGCCTCATCCTATGGAGGAATCACCACTGCCCATCTACATTGAGGAGGGGACAGAAGTCCCGATTGGTGAGTGCAGTTGGGATGGGATATGTTTAAGGGGGGGTATAACGGTACTTGGGTTTTATATTCCTCACGTTTGTGTATACCTATTTGTCATTGAAAATTGTAAGGCCTGTTGCAAATGTTTTGGGATTTTTATTTTATTTTCTTAATGCAAGTGTATTTTAGAGCTCCTGAGGATTGTTAAATACTGCTAGTGTTGGTTTTCAGCTAATCATAAATCAAAGTACATAATTTATGCAGTGACATTAAAAGCTTCCGTGCAGGATCTCTTAACACAAGGCTGGGGAAGACCACGAGTATCACATGAGGTAGTTCCCACTTCAGCCTTTGACCTTGGTGTTCAGATACTCAGAATAATCTGCCGGTTGGGTCAGCAGTTTTTGTCCTGCTGACGCTGTCCTGCCTGGCACCCCGCAGACTAACGTTGCACACACCACTGAACAGAGTTAGGTTTGCCGTTACCTGCGTTGCACATCGGCGTGCTGCACACCCCCATTTCTGAGCTCTGGTGTGAGTGTATTGTTGCTACATGAATATATAGGTTTGGGTGTTGTTTTTTTTTAAATAGAGGAGCAGTCTTTCAGATAATCCATAAAGAAAGAGACTAAAAGATGAGTAAGTTGGACTGTGGTGATCTCTTTGGACTGTAGAAAGCTGTGATTGCAGCGTTTCCCAGAGCCCCTTCCTTATTCAGCCTGTTCTCAGTTGCATACAGTAAGTATGCCTTGGCTACCGCCTTGGGAGTCTGCCCTGTTGAGCAGATGTGTCTCTTCAAATAACTTTTTCTTAGTATATATCCTGAATTTTTCCATTCCTAAATTCAAGCAATTGCTTCTTGTCCTCCTATCTTTTGAGCTAGATTAATTACCTTCCTCTACACACAGTACCTTGAAGGTATTTGTAGCTGGATCTCAGCCCAGGAGTCTTTACATTTATAGACCATATTAATTTAGCTCTCTTACTCTCTCAGATCATTTTTATTGTCCTTATTTGTATTTCCTTTAATTTTTCTATCTCCTTTCTAATCTGTGGAGACTTGAACAGCTCATACTATATCCACTGTGGTTGTTTTGACATAGCATTTGCTTTACATTTCCATATCATCCCTTCATGTGTACACATCCAGAAATAGCTTAGCCTTTGACCCTTCTCCTGCATCACTCAGTAGCATCATACAGAGGAACTCTATTACTTGGCTAATGTCACCTGCAATCACCTTTAGGTCTTTCTTGGATTCACGGCTTTGCAGCTAGCTGCTCCTCAGGCAGTGTCACTGCTCTCCTGAGATGTAGGGCTTTATACTTCCTAGCACTAAGTCCCCATCCCACTGCATGCCACTTACTTATTTTATCCAGGAATGATTTAAGATGGTATGCCTGTGTATTTATTTTAACGCCCTGGGATTTTATCATTTACATAGAAGTTGTTGCTGTTTTATTATATGTAGAGCAAAGAAATACTTAAATTTTGTATTTTGATACCTATTACAACTGTCTTCTGCACATTACTCCAGACTCCTTTCCCAGCTCCATCATTCTTGTTTGCATACCTTCCCTAACTTTTCCTTCCTCTAGTTATGAAAGTTCATAATGTAAAAACTGACAGGTTTAGCCTTCTCCTTGTCTCCATTTTGTACCTTTTCTCGTTTTACAATTAGTATATTGTTCCTGTATCTCTTCTATGCATGGCATGATGCGGTCTTTCCCACAGCAGATCATCTTTTCCTCACTTCTGGGGTTGTCGTCAGCTGAACGTCCGCTCAACATCAGTTCCCTCTTGTAGAACCATTAAGGCTAACTTCTGTCATGGCCCCTGGTATTTCATGTTGTCTTTCCCATTGCACTGAGGAAACCTGGACTGCCAGGATGGTGGTACGCACACCAAGAAAAATACTGTAAGGCTGATGAATCACAAGACTGACCAAACAAACAAAAAAACCCCAAACCGATGAGTGAAAAGCTTTTTTAGAGGATGTTTTTTCGGTGCTGTCATGAGGCAGGTTTGTTGGATCAGGTTCTGAAATGCAGCAGTAGCTGTGAAATGCCAAATTGGGTTGGGGAGGGCATCGTGTTTACTTATTTTAAATAAGTATCTGGACTGTCAATGCAGCAAGCTGTGGTTGAGGGGGAATGAGTGGAAAAAGTAAATGATGCAGAGATGAGAGCAAACCACAAGCTCCACGTTTGGTGTTTGAATGCCTGACATGGGTCAGGACTTTTATAATAGTTGGATGCAGTATAAATCGTCAAGCTAGGAAGTCAACTGCAAAAATCTGATCTGGGTCTGGGTCTCAGTTTTGAGCTTACCAGCGTGATCCAGATCCAGGGTGCCCGTTTGCACCTGTATAGACCAGAATAGGAATAAAAAGAAGTCCTTTCTGAGTTTAGGCTGGAGAGGAATAACACACAGTGCAGTTGTTAAAACAATTCAGCACAACCATCATTTACTTTTAAAAGATTGTTTGGAGAACTTAGATTATTTCCTCATCCAAAACACATTTTGGATAGTATATGGAGTGCATACTGTTCTGGCCCAAGCCTGAGTGGTGGTGGTAGATCACTTTGTAGCTTCCATATTTATTTTAAAAAGTAGAGAAATCAGTAGGTTCTTTCAGAGTCTAAATTTAACAAGCCTAATTATTTCAAGCAATTTAAAAAGGAACATAAATCTCACTTGTTTATTACAGCTGCTTCATGAAAACAGCAGCTACAAATAATACCCTATAATGAAAATCTAGCTACCACTGTCATGAATTAACCAACAAGAGAACGAGCGTATGGGATCTGGACCAAGGCAGCATTTCCTTCTCTGGAGGGAGGGTCTTTGTGTTGTGGAGAAGGTGGTTATTACCTAACCGCTGGTTTTATCTCCTTGGGTGAAATGAAGACTTTGACATTTCTGCGTGGATGAATAGCACTTTTGATTGGAAAAAAGTCTGAGCTATACTTAATTTTTAGGTACTTTTGCACTTTCTGTACATTCCTCGAGGAAGGTAGGTAAGCGAGATGCAACAAACATAATGATTTAATAAATTAATAATTATAATAGAAATAATAAAAGATATTTCTGAGGAGGTGGAGAATATTTTGTGAGCAGTAGCAAAGACTCTAGAGAATAACAGTAAAAGAGCGCAGGTCAGACCCTGGCAGTCTTAATTCAGGCACAATTTCAACTGTCTTCCACACAATTAAATAGTTCAGGAGATTCACTGAACTATTGAGGAAATAGGTGAGGAAATAGGCAGAGTAGGTCATTATTCATCATTGCTGTTCGTGCTAAGGTCATGGCCATATTTCTCTGGTTACCGTTTGGAACCTGTTGTGTTAAGCACTGAAGAAAACACCTGAGGCCACACAGTCCAAATTTACATTTTATAAAGCAAAAACCCAGGAACAAAATATTTGTATTGGCAATCATTGTATTTGGCCTGTGCAGAACATCACCAGGGGAATAATTGCCTCCTTGGGGATCAGGGAGCAATAGAGATGTAGGCTGAGATGTTTATTTATGTTTTTCCTTCCAAGTCACATATTGAGACATTAGTGTTGTTTAATATCTGTGAAATTAGCTGCAAAGACATACAAGGATCTAATTCTCAACTGATTTACCTCAGCATACCTTTGTTGATTCCAGTAGCATTGCTATTGCTTTATCATTGTGTAAACAGGATCAAAGTCAGACCCCCCTTTTTCAGGAATCAGTCCTGCTGACCTTGAAACCCGTGGCACTTCTGCTGTAGCTCTGAGTCCCTATGTGGGCAAATCCCAGTGGTCCACTTCTATCTTACTGATCCACTTTTGCTAATGAATAGCACTGGCTTCAGCGGACTTATTTCAAATGTATACAAGTGTTACGTAGACCTTGTCTAAATAGGATTTCCACCCCCATTAAATCATCTCAGTATGATGGAAAGCTCCATTAGCACTCTGAAGCCGTATTCTCTTGGTAGTACTCACAAGTTATGATGTAGCCCAAGCTCATTTGAGTAATCTTGATTACAGGGGAAGAATTTTCTTGTAATCGCACACAGTTTCTTCTGCCGCTGCTCGATCCCTGCTTTTAAGCATCTCTGATGTCTTATTAATGATAAAAACTGGATTTCCAGTCTATTTCTGCTCTTGGGCAGACTCACTGAAAGATGGATGCTCTGTTATTTTTTTTTTCTCCTTCGATAAGTCAGAGCTGTTTTTTAAGTGGGGTAAGCATAGGAAGTCCACCTTTCCCAGGCAGGGAGAGTATTCGGCACCTTATAGAGAGCTGGTTCTGTGTCTGTCTAGGAGGTTGCCTTCCCTCATAAGAGAAGAGAACCATTTCTGTCATATGTGCTGCAGGGTTTGCTCTTTCATGGGGTGCTGGCACACAGAAAGCTTGATTTTTGCCAGGTACTGAGTGCCTTCTGCAAGGTATTGAGTGCCCTCCTATCCTTTGCAGCCAAAAAGGAGTTGATTGCTCTTGGCATCAGGCAAATCTGGACCCAGAAGACCACAGGTAGTATTTACCAATTATTTATGTGCTTTCGCATGCCAGAGGTTGTCTGAATTGATTTCCCTACCAAACAAGA